GGGCCCCAAAAAAAAAAAAAAAAAAAAAGGAAAAAAAAATTCTTACAGCATGCACCCGAGGATGCCCGCACTTGTGCTGAGTGCGAGGGTCTTGGTGCGGACTCTCTGTAGTCTAGCACATCCAGGTCGGCAAGGCCCTTAAAACACGCAGCCATACCTCCAGGACCTGTGGTCAGATCAACCCCTGTGTGAGCTCCCCTGTCACTGACAGGATCCTTCATCCCTCTCCGTGAAGGAGCAGATTGTTCATAAACAGGAAGAGGAAGATGTGCAAAAGAATTACGGGGGACAACTAAAGGAGAAAACAGGGATGGGAGTGAAAGTCCAAAACAAGTGTACGAAGGGGGACACGGAACAGAGCACACCGGAAGAGCCCTCGAACGAGTCCAAGATGCCAAAAGAAGCTGGAGAAGCAGAAGGAGTAACAGATGTACATAAATAAAAAGAAAAGTCCCGTCACGCAGTCTGCTGGCATCTTGGACTTGTTCGAGGGCTCTTCCGGTGTGCTCTGTTCCGTGTCCCGCTTCGTACACTTGTTTTGGACTTTCGACTTTCATTCCCATCCCTGTTTTCTTCTTTAGTTGTCCCCTGTAATCACTTGATGTTCACTTAGTGTTCCCCTTCGATTAAGGGGGGCTTTTAGTTTTACTTGGTGGCCTATGCTCCTAATGCACATCCAGTAGGCCTGCGTCACAGTGGCAGAGAGTGGTTGTTGAAAACCACAGTGAACTGGTTATGACCACGTTTTTTTCCCCACTGTTCTTGTTTTACTTTGCAGCCTCGTGCATTTAAGGTCTAGGAAGCTGCAGGTGAGATGGGAAACAGAGTATCTCACTTGGTGCAGTTCTGTTGTATTGTGAGATATGCCTATTAGGCCTAGTCTCTTTAATCTATCCTCATATGGAAGCACTGCTGTAATACGGATCATCCTTGTTGCCCTTCTCTGTACCTTCTTTGATCCTTTTTCAGGTGTGGGGAGCAAAACTGGGAGTGCTGAGGAAGGGTGGCATTGCCTGTAACTTGTGCTTTTTCTCTCTCTGGTGCAGGGATTGAGTGAATACAAGAGGAACTTCAAATGGAAGAAGTTGGGTCTGCAAGAGTCTTGTAGACCTTCGCAGGAACAGATGTCCACTTGGGCAGGACTTCGCTCTGATCAACTAGGTAAAGAACTGGAAGTCGCTGGTGCAAAGCCATCAGTTTCAGGCTCTGTGCAACATATCAGTTTGACAGAGGGGGAGCCTCTACTTGTATATTACACAAAACCAGAAATACGTATGGTAAACTGAGCCACAAACAATACGTGGACACAGAGTTAGTATGAGATGCTATGTTGTGGGGAGGCACACATGTGAGTTAATGTAACTTGGAGGTAATGAGTTACACGTATTTGTGATGGAAGGTCAGTGCTGGTATGAAATAACAAGATTGTGATGAAGTCTGTTACTGAGAGGCTTTCAGCAGACATCTGAAAGGGCAAGTCCATGTGTTATGGTCTAGCGCAGGGATGGCTAGCCTATGGCGTGCATACCAAAAGTCACACAGGCAACCTCTGTGTGGCATATAGGAAGGGACAGGCAGCACCGTGGCAGATGGGGTAGGACAACAGATCACCCAGGGAAGGGATTGGAGTGGCGCTCAGGGAGTGTACAGGGCTAATTTGTTGTCTTCCTGCCCAAAAGTTTGGGCCCAACTGGTCTGGTGAATATGGTCTAGTGATCAGCGCATCACTGCCTTTCACTTCTGAAAACTGAATTGGGGAATTAGGAGTTAGTGTGACAGACAGGTGGGAATGAGAGGAAATGACATAGAAAGCAAAACCTTAGGTGGCAGTCAAAGAGAGGCAGGGGGATGTAGGAGAAGACAAGAGCTAAAATGTTGGCAGAGGCAATTGGAGTACTTGGAAGACTAGCAGGAAAAGCTTCAACTTCTGTATAGCAAGGAGGTTGATGAAAGCAGGGGTATAGATACAAATTACTCTGCAGGGTACGTATTAAAGCAGTGGTTCTCAAACTTTTTTTTTTTGCGGACCACTTGGAAGTTGTTGGGGGTCTCAGAGGACCCCTTAAACTTTTTTGTTCTACAAATCAGAGCGCACAACTCATATTTTAATATCAGTAGTCTTACTTTTCTAATGCGATGGATGTGCCTATTTTTTTGAGCAAAGTTTTGGGAAGTCGGGTGTAATGGTTGTCTGCTTTAGCCTTAGGTCACCTTTCTGTGAACTGCCTGAATGGAGCTTGCAGACCAGTGCTGGTCTGTGGACCACAGTTTGAGAACCTCTGAATTAGAGTATGATGGCTTGCCTCGTCTGAGCTTGAAACTTAAGTATTATAAGAGCCACGTACCAATTACAGTCAATCCAAGCACCAGGCCATTTGATCGGACAACTAGTATTTTACTAAAGATCCCTCCTGTCTCATCACCTTCTGATATAAGCACGCATGGGTCATTTCTGTGACACTGCTTTCCATAAGATACAGCTCTGTGCATGTGTGGAGCTTTTGTTTTTGAAATAATAAACTCTTAAGAGCAAGGATGCCTAACTATACAAACCCCCTCTTAGGGAGAGGATAAAAATACATCCATACTATGATGTTAGTCATGTTGCATAATATGCTATTGGAAGGTGTTGAGATATAACATGCTAATTGATGTATAAGAACTTGTATAGAGTAGGAGGAAACTACTTTGTTTACTCAGAACCAAGACAAGGTTTTCTTTCCCATTCAACATGGAAGGGACCCCAAGTACAAGGTGGAGGGGGGAAGCATATATATACATTTTCTATACATCAAATCTAATTGAGGGTCATCTCAAATTCAAAGTCATTATGAGTTCATGTAAATATGGTATCTAGGAAAGCAGTGAGTTTCAAGGAAACTTGTCCTTTCTTTTTCGTGTACTTGTGATAAAGGATTTAGCAGAATTTGCAGATTCAGTGGAATCTGACAGGCTATTCCGTGAGTGTTTCTGCTGCGGCCTCGCAACCTCTGGGCTGTCAACCATGCACCTTGGTGTGTGTGCCACCCTAGCCCCCAAGGAGACTTGTAAAGAGAGACTTATGATATTAAGAGAGACTTACGTTATTAAACACCCAGGATTTGAACACTACTGGGATGTTTTGAGTGGTGAACTGCCTAGGCCAGGAACTAATTTCTTTATATGGGGCCATGGTTTCACGGAAGGTGTACAGTTAAACTTTCAGCTGCGCTCCATGCAGAATCAAGCTTTTAATATGGGAAGTTAACTGTGCCGGTCACCTCTTTATTATTTATTTATTTTATTATATTGAGCAATCAGAGATCTCATCATAGGGTTTTTTTAGAGTAAACTTTGTACTCTCATTTTAGTTTTTGTGAAAGATCAAATGGTTTAGGAAAATGACATGATTTTTCACTTACAGAAAAATTTAACTTCATGCTAACAAGGACTGTAAATAAGTTCACTAAACTAAAACACAATGTTTTTGAACAATGAGACACAATGTTTACATCTGCCTTTCTTTATTCTGTTCACCAAAGTAAAAATGTTTACTGATTCTTTTTTTTTTTGATCGGAATATATTAATCACCGTATGTTTCTTAAACTAGTCCCTGCAATTTACAATTTAGTTCAGTGTTCTTTCCATATCATTGGGGTTTTTATTTAATACAATTATTTCAGGAAAGAGTTTTAGCATGACAGTTACACTTAGTAATTTTTCCATTATTTTTGCAAGAGACTGCAGCAGAAAATAGGGTTTAAGATAGCCTGGAATGAGTGAAGGAACACATTAGACATTTCTTTTTCTTCAAACTGTATTTAAGTGGAGTTATTCAAATGGCACTGAGTTATCAATTAGCAAGTAGAGTTTAGTATGTGCATGTCAGGTTCATTAAACAAAAGATCAGAATATCTCTTGTTGGTTCTCCCTGACTGCTTCACCTAAACCTGTCTTTCAGCTGTTGTCATTGTATGGTTGCATTTGGTAAGAATATTGAAGTAATTCTTTTCACCACCCACTTTTTTCCCGCTGCAGTACTGTCAACTCTAACCTTTCAAAAATCATGCATCTTATCGAGAAAGTCATGAGATTTGCCAAAACCTTTCAGATTTATAAGAAAGATTTCTTTATATTTGCTTCCTGGTATGCGCTTCATAACATTCAGGTTACATTTTCAAGCTGTTCTCTGCAGCTGTTGGGTTAGAAACCTTTTATTAAATGGAAGCTAAAATCTCATGTAATCAATCATATATCTCCCAGATGTGGTGCTTTAAACTCAACATCAAATATCACAAGACTCACCATAATATCATTGATTTATGATATCTTGAGTCTGCAACACTGCAGTCTTCTGCTTTATAGCTGTTGGTTTTTTGTTGTGTTTAGTTTGCATATCTGAACCTTTTGTTTTTATTTTGCTACCACTTCTTTTCTGGCCATATTTAATCACACGTGTGTGCAAAACCATTTAGTAAGCCACTATCATTCTGATATCTCCCTTATGTTTGGCTCCCTTATGGTTCCTTGCACTGAAATGTATAGTTAATAGTTTGTGCCGGTTTAAGAATTAATCACTTAACTAAACAGACCAGTTGGAACACTCAGAGTTCTCTCCTACCATTTTCCAGTTGCTTCTTCAAAAGCTGCTTATGACATTTATATGTTCTGGCACCCAAACGTTCTCTGCATCTATCAGTGTACATGGTAGCCTCTGTTTGATAAAACCCTTGTTGTCTCACCAGGCACACCTAAATTTCCGAAAGAGTACTTTATAAGTCTTGGCAGCCATTCTTCCTAGCCAGGCATAATCTTTTGTCAGTTGTTTGGTACTCAAAACAGATTTCTGATTACCTTTTTTTTTTAATTGCCTATCTTCTTCCTTAAATTGGTATGTGTGTTTTGTCCTTATTCTCTTATATAAGAGGTCAGTTCTTATCTCCCTTAAAACTGTCCCAGATAATCAATATTGTATAATGGGTTATATGTGAAAAGATGTTTCCTCAATTTTTGTAATTAAAAAGCATAACAAGTCATGAAATTGTTTTAAAAGTTACTCTAGATGATTATTTAGAAGAAATAATTAGTGCAGGTATCTATATTATCATAGTCCAGAATCATATTGGAGGTATTACTGTCTTGCACTGCTTGCCAGTCATTGTAAGATGAGAACCTGTTCAGCAATGCATGTTTTCAACATGAAGAAGTAGTTGAGGGAGATCATGATACTTTTGTCAGTGCAGTTAGATGGTAATGGTGGTTTTACTTTTATCATATATTCATTTTTTTTTTCCCATTGATCTTGGTTTACATTTCTGTCCCTCTCTGTGTACTCCTGATTCCCATTGCAAAACAGTGTTCTGTGGCTAAATTTGTTTAATAGGTCATGATCCAGTGAGCAAGGGAAGTTCCACATCTTCCACTTAGTCCAGTGGGAACTGAAGTTATGCAGCATGTACCTGGAATTAATGGGCTAAAACCATAGTTTTTAAACTGTCATTGCTCAAATAATCATTTTTAATAATCGGTAATACAATATACATTCATTTTTATTCCTCCTGTTTGATATTTTGGCATTGTGTCTTAACATCATAATATAAATATTTTACTGTTCTCAATCCTGATGTTTCTTTTCTAGGAATCGTAAGAGAACCAAATTTCATTTCCAAGAGAAAGGTGCCTTACTATAACCCACAGATTTCAAAGTCCTTTGAATGGAGAGGAGACAGTAATTTGAATGACCTACCAGAAGCTGAAGTTCCCGGGCCTACAGAGTTGCATGCAGATCACAATAACAATGATATAAATCATGACAAAGTTGAGATACCTGATGCACCCAGGCTTCCTAAAACCATTCGGTCTCGCTCTGCAGATTCTAGAGTTGAATCTGCCATTGCCCTTGCAGGAAATACTAAGAAGAAGTCGCCACCTGCAACTCCTGTAAAACGTAATTCAGCATCTGTCTCTCCAAAAAAGCACCTGGATAAAGTGGAAGATGGGGTATGAATTTAAAGACTTTTTTTTCCTTTCTTGTGGCCCAACGTATAAAAATTAATAATCTGGCAGTTACAGGAAATTAAATACAGTTCAATTAGATTTCATGCTTATAGCTGTATCTCTTTTTCCTATTTCTTGTTCATTTGGCTCTGTATTTTAACATACATTTAATCTCCATTATGTTTGGACTATTGTACTTTTAGGGTCAAATCCTGGGTCCACTGAAGTCAGTGGAAGTCTGGCACTTGGCTTCAATTTAATTAGTATTTATAAAAAAATAGTAGGCTTCAAAGATGCTGGTTTTAATGAACCCAAATAACAGTGTTTAAGGCAGGAATGTCAAATACATGACCTGTGGAGCCATATCATCTGGGTACTAGTGCTGTCCATGGGGTCATGGAGTAACTGACAGGCAGCATGCAGGGCATGCTAGATGATATTGCATGGGACACGCCCTGGAGTGGCTCTGTGGTGGCGGTGGCTCCAGTTACAAAATGTGGGACTGGTCTGTGGGGCTGAATGAGTTTGATGCCCCTGGGCTAAACAAAAATAAACATTGATGTGGACTGTAACAGATAGAGCTAGAAGAAATTACAGGGATAGACATGAAAATATGTTTGTTTTTTTTTCTGATTTCATTGTTTTTGTTTTGTTTTTGTTGTTGACAGTTTCACAGAGTTCTGCAAAAGAAAGCAGGCATGAATATTTTCCCTTTAACTAGTTTCCCAAGAAGTTCTGAATATCAAAGCCAGTTTATATGGAAGACTCCCCAAGAACTCTCTCCAATACTTGCAGCTGAACGGGTAATGTTTTTATCAAATAAGGAAGTAATTTAATTACCATGATTTTTCTGGGTAGTAATTCTGTTGCAATAGAATGACGTGCATTTATATTGCTCCTTTGTTTCTCTAACCTATTAAAGCATATTACCACTGTATTCATATTTACATTCATATGTGTGATACCTTATATAGGGAAGTAAGCAACCCATGGCCTGACAAGTGATTGGATCTGACCTGCAGCAAAATAGGTAGAGAGGCAGTACAGAACTTCGCCCAGCATGTCCCACTTCTTGTCCTACACCATAATGCTGTTCCTCTCTGCAACAGCTCCTTCTGCAGCCCTCCCCGATCTATCCTCTCTTTCCTCTTACTGTGTCAGTCAATGCTTACTGTTGCTGGCAAATTTGGCTTTCCTCACTGTAGGGCTGTGCAAAACAGCACTGTTTCATTTTGACTTGTGTTTCGCTATTTCGAAAGGACAGTGTTTCGTTTCGTTTCGTTTCATTCTGTTTCATCGAAACTGTTTCACTGCTTCAATGCGTTTGACGTTTTGTCCATAGGTTATAATGGGGAATCATGAAAATGCCTGTAACTTTGTCATTTCGTGCCTGATTTGGATGAAAATTGCAGGGATGGTAGCCCCTTCTGAGGGCACGAAGCCTGCCAAGTCTTGAGGAGAGGTCCAGGGGTTTCTGGGAAACTGCACTTCCAGGTGCTGAGAACAAAACTTGTTTACTTGGTGCCAGGGGCAGGCTGCTGTCATCCTGCATGCCAGTCTGCGGTCCGACACCCCTGGGAGGGCTGTGGGGCTGTGCCAGACTCCTCCCAGGGGTGTGAGGCCCCAGATCTGAGCTCGGGATGACAGGAGGCTGCTGCTGTTGCCTGGGACCAGTGCTGGGCACAGCCTGGTGCTGTCGCTGGCTCCAGGCAGCGGTGGCAGCCTCCTGTCATCCCACATACAGGTCTGTGGGCCCACACCCCTGGGAGCAGTCCGGCAGTGCTGGGAGGGCAGGTTGAGCTCCGTGGGGCTGGTGGAGCCACTTGGGGCGCAGCCCTGGCTCTTCCCATCTCCTGCTGTGGGGCTGCACTCCAAATGGCTCTTCCAGCCCCATGGAGCTCAGCCTGGTAGCGGGAGAGCCAGTGGTGGAGCCATTCAGAGCACAGCCCAGTGGCAGGAGGCAGGGGGGAGCCACTGGCCGGGGCTGCACTCAGAGCCAGGTATGCACTCGGAGCGGCTCCACCACTGCTTCTCTGCCACCTCCATGGGGCTGCGGAGCCTCCCACTACCAGGCTGTGCTCGCCAGGGCTACTGCCATTGGCTCTCTGCTGCCTCCTGGAGCACAGGCCTGGTGAGCATGGCCTGGTGGCCGGAGGCTCTGCAGCCCCACAGAGCTGAGCCTGGTGGCGGGAAGCAGGGCTGTGCTCTCCAGAGCTGTGCTCCAAGCGTCTCTGCTAGCCCCATGGAGTTCAGCCCGGTGGCAGGAGGCAGCAGAGAGCCAGTGGCAGAGCTGCTCGGAGTACAGCCCTGGTCAGTGGCTCTCCCTTGGCTCCTGCTGCCAGGCTGAGCTCTGTGGGGCTGGTGGATCCACTCAGAGTGCAGCCTGGCGGTGGGAGGTGGGGGAGAGCCCTTGGAGTGGCTCCGTCAGCCCTATGGACCTCAGCCTGGTGGCAGGAGAGCCAGTGGCAGAGCCACTCCTAGCGCAACCCTGGTGTGCGCAGTCTGGCGGTGGGAGGCTCCACAGCTCCACAGAGCTGAATTTGGTGGCGCGAGGCAGGGGAGAGCCACTGGCCAGGGTTGTGCTCAGAGCCAGGGCTGTGCTCGGAGTGGCTCCACCACTGGCTCTCCCGCCGCTGGGCTGAGCTTCGTGGGGCTGGCGGAGCCACTCAGAACACAGTCCTTCCTCCCACCACCGTGTTGCTTTGAAACTCGAAACGTTTCAAAACTTTTGAAATGTTTTGAGTGACCTTGTTTCTTTTTGAACCTGTTTCAAAGCCTTTTGTTTCATTTTGATTTCACTGTTTCGAGCTCAAAATGTGTCAAAACAGCTTCCAAATGAAACACCCTTTGAAATTTCGTGCAGCCGTACCTTACTGCCGTTGTAGATGAAAGCAGTGGATGTGGCAGCAGGTGGCTTTAGACACTGGGAAGGGGAGCACTGGCCTGAAGTTGTGTGTGTAATCAGTGGCCCATGGTGACAGCTGGGTCATAAGCAGTGACCCGTTGTTCTAAAATTTTGTTGACTTCTGCCTTATAATGATAAGGTCCAATTCTACAGTCTCTCATATCTCCTCTCCTCACTGGCTCTATGCATCCTAGAAGTTCTTGGTGGTTGTCACATCCTTCTGACAAGGGCATATTTCTTTTTGCAATCAATGGTAGTTGATATTAAAACCTTTTAGATCTCATTCAACATTATCCTTCCATCTTCTATTTGGCTGACTAGAAAAGTGAAATCTATAGGAACGTCATTCTTCAGTGCTTAGGTGTCTTCATCCTAACTCCTATTGTGCCTTTGGAAGTCACTGAAATTTCGTTGCATTTCACTCTGCTTGATTCTTTATTGACCTCCTGGAGTTTCTTATTGGAACTTTTCCATGCATCATTTTCCTTATTGATCTAACAATTCATATAAATACTTTCATCTTCTGATGATACTTAGTTGTTTTCCTTCTTAGTAACTGCCCAGGTTTCACATCCATATAAAACAATAGGTCCTGTAATGGTTTTCTGTTTCAAGCTCCGTTGTTCGGAGCTAAAAATACTCTTGACTTAATTTCCTCCCTCATCAAATTACCTAGGAGCATTAATTACTAATATCCAAGTTGCTGCTGTCTGTGAGTGTCATCTGTTGGAAGGGCTTGCCCGAGATCTCATGAGCTTGTAGTCATCTATTTGGTTTTTTTCATTGATCTTAAGACCAAGTTTTCTTTCTGTGTCAAGCCTTCAGACATTATTTGTGTCTCCCTCTGATTAACCAAATTGTCATCATTCCAAAAAAAAGGATTCACTCCATCTTGATAATTCTGAAATAACTTTATTGCTTAATCCACTTTCAAGAACATGCACTGGGGATGGTACCTCTTCCTGTCATAATTGCATGTTAATGTAAAGAAAGGCAGAGATTTTACTTGCTGCTTGTATTCTGCTTTATGAGCTGCAAATACACAATTGCACAGTACTAACAAAACTATTAGGGACTCAAATTCTTTTATTTAAGGTCATCTTACATTGTACAATCTCATGTTTTCTTAAAATCTATAGCAACTATGTATGTATTCTGATCATATTGCTATATTCTTGATTGGTGGGCAAATTCAAAATTTAACTCACAGTGAACCTATTTTTTTTTGGAACCCACACTGTTATTCTATTATATCCTCTCTGCCCCCCCGCCGTATAATGTAATTCAGCAAATTACTCCCTTAATCTTTCTTTAATATAATTCTTTATAGCTAAAAATATCCCATTTTCCTTTATCAAAATTATTTATGGTTAATAAATAAGCCAAGGTAGTGATGGAGTTCAGGTTAGCTATGGGAGTCAAGGTCAATAAGAAGTTCTTGTTTAGGTATGTAAGCAGTAGAAGGAAAACAAATGGAAGTGTGGGATCTCTGCTTAACACCTTGGGACAGCTGGTAACTGGCATTCAGGAAAAAACTGAACTCCTGAATACCTACTTTGCTTTGGTATTTCACCAGACCAAGGAGAAAATCAAGTGAGATAAGGTTTATAGGGGACGTGCCGGGAGTGACAGCCTCTCCACTGTTGATGCTGAGTCAGTGCAATACCAATTAGAAAAGCTAGACATTACAAGTCAGCAGGTCCAGATGGACTCCATCCGAGAGTGCTGAAGGAGTTTGCTGAGGTCATCATGGAACCCCTGGCAAAGCTTTTTCAGAATTTGTGGCACATGGGAAATCCCTGAGGATTGGAAGAGGGCCAACATTGTCCCCATTGTCTTCAAGAATGGGAAGAGGGAGGACCTGGGCAACTATAGGCCAGTCAACCTAACCTCCATCCCAGGGAAGATCCTGGAAAAGTTCATTAAAGAATCTATGTGCGATACGCAGAAGATAAGATTCTGAATGACAGCCAGCATGGCTTTGTTGCGGGTAGGTCTTGTTTTACTAATCATCTCCTACGACCAGGTCTCTCGCCACCTGGACACAGGAGACATGGTAGACATTATATACTTAGACTTCCAAAAGACTTTTGATCTAGTATCCCAAGATATCCTTGTGGGAAAACTGGAAGATTGTGGGCTCAGCTGCTCAACGGTTCAGTGGGTGGGGAAACTGGCTACAGGGTAGGACCCAGAGAGTTCTCATGAACGGATCTGT